GAGCCGTGCTGAGGGACAGGGCTCTGCGAGCGGGAGCAGCCGTCTGCCATGAGCCAGCAGTGCAGGGGGAACCGGGGGCTCGGCAGGGGCCAGCGTGCCCGTCGCAACGGGGACTCTCCTCGCGGCCACGGGCGCGGGGAACTGGGAAGGAGCAGCCAGCCGGTCGTCCCCAGCCAGCTGCTTGTGAGAAACCCCACAGTTGCTACAAGAAAGTAAAAAGTTAGAAATGAAGCTGCCAGGACAGAGCATGCTGCTAGTGGCCGTGCATTAGTTCCTCAGTGTTGTTGCCACTGGCCTGATGATCACCCCCCCCCCCAGTCAAGAACCAGCCACAAGTAATAAATGACATTGAACATGGGGTGAACACAGGGTTCGTTTAACATCACATATGAAATGCTGATGAAGTTCTGTGCACAAGGCACAAAATGTAAAAAGCAAACGCAGAGGTAGCATGCGGGGCGTTTGACAAAGCAAGCTGTTGGGCTTATGAGAGTCACTACGGGAAGTAGATAGTGTCGATGTGAGCTCCTCCCAATAAAATTCACTTCTGGAAAGAAGGAAGGAAGGAAGGAAGGCAAGAAACTGCTGTGGAACGATAGGAAAGACAGGTTTCTCCTGAACCAGTAAGACTATTTCTTTTAGTGTTCATTTGTACTTTTCTAACCATTAATATGGCCCTCTACTGAATTCGATACTGCATGCATTGAAAAGTTTGCCTTTCTTTACATCAGACTTCTTATTTCTACCACTGGTTTTACTTTAGTGGTCAGTTTGGGAGTTGTTGTAGAACAGGTTGTTGATATGGGTCAGTTAGTACCGGGCGAAGAAGACCTACAGTTCTTCTTTCATTCTAGGTCAGCTAGAAGACAACCATGCTGGTCCTGGGTAATAACACGCAGCAGAGGTATTGAAGCGTAAGAGGAAAACAAGGCTGTCAATTATTCCAGCTTTGCGGCACGCTGTTAGTAGCAGCCGTATTTCAGAGTTACTTGAGCAGTCTTATTGATATTTTGCACTTTGCACTCTCAAATGCTTAGTTAAAGGTCATTCTTATGCGGATTTTGCACTTTGCACGCTCAAATGCTTAGTTACTTGAGCAGTCTTATTGATATTTTGCACTTTGCACTCTCAAATGCTTAGTTAAAGGTCATTCATCCATATGAAATTTGGATATTCTTTAACCTTTCTTGGTCTCTCTTGCTTTCTCCCAATACACCTTGGAAATCATCTGTAATACTTCCAGCTGTGTCTTTTAGGAATGCTGCTGGTCATGAAGGGACAGGTGGTCTTTTTCTCAGTAATGAGCTATATTCTTCACTCCAGAATATCAACTTTTGTGGGGGTGGGGAGCAGGTCACCGCTGCCAAGATAAAATATGGGTTTTTTTAATTTCTAGAAAGGAAATTTTAAAAACTACTGATAATGGAATGATCTGAATCTCAAGCTCTCAAAAGCAGGTAAT